TCACTCTTCACCACCGGCCCAGCGAGCACCAGTTGGCTGATATCGCGACTACGATTCGCCTCCATCACTCAGCAGATAAANGGAAGCCTTCTGGAAACTTCTGGTTCCTCCTGTAGCCTCTGGAAGTCTTTCTGGAAACTTCTGGTTCCTTCTGTCAGCTTCTGGAAGCGTTCTAGATCTAGGTTGCAGTTGATACTCTTCTAGAACGTAGGAGGGCTTCCAGAAATCATTCTGGACGCATTCTGGATCTTTCGTGTGATTGGCTTATTTGTCCGGGATTCGAGAAGAGTGGTGCAGCCCTAAGCTCGCCCACTCCTCTCACTCCTCTTCAGTACCAGCAACATCAATCTGACTCGGGAGTCAGCAATTAATCTTCATATTTCCATTCCAAGTCTCTCGCGGTTGGAGCCGCACAGAGTGTTGAACCTCTGAGGTAGGCTTTACAGCCTCCTGGCATCTGCAGCATCGTGCTGCTGCTAGATCACAGCGAAATATCGCTGACAGTTATTGATGGTCCCGGTTTAGCGACCAATGGTCGCCAAACGGGGTTGAGCGACATGCCCTGAATAGCAACCATATTTCGTCGTGACACCAGTGGTCGCTAAACCGCCCCCCCCCCCGTAAACCAAACCCACCGAATGATAAGGTGGTACGGCAGTAGTACTGAAAGTTCAACCTCGTGACCTGCTCCGAACCAACTTAAATGTGGCGCCGTGGTGGAGTCTGACCGTGTCTTGACTACAGTACTTGATTACATCGTAAGAATATTGCACCCGAGACCACACGTGGGCCATCTGTCTCTGATACCTGGCAGCTCACGCAAGAATATGTTCCGTTATATTTTCATGTATGTACAGTTGGGGCTACGGTGTAAGAGAGCTCAGTTTTTAGAGAATTGCCGATTTAAGAGAGGTCAAAATTGCTAGACACACCCCTCTCTTAAACCGAACCCCGAATCTCTTAAACCTCTCTCCAACCTCTCTTAAACCGAACCTGCCCCCCCACCCCCCACCCCCTATAGCGCACCAGCTGCCCTCCACTGCAGCAGCTCAAGCAGCTGTACAGCAGTAGGCCATCATAGCTAGCGAGACACACAGCTCCCACGGATGCCTTGCGCCGCGGGTTCCCGCTGCCTGGCATCGCTGGACCACGCATCCGGCCCCCCACTGTTTACGAACCACTCATATGACATGCCGTGTCTGCGGAGGCTACCTTCATGGACTGTGCGGTGTACATGACCCGCTTGGCGACAACGAGATGCACCGTGTTTGCCACGGATGTGTCAACTCGAGCAACCGCAAGGAATCAAGCACAAACTCGACTGCTGGGGCTGCATCTTCGAAGCGCCCCTGCCCGGACGGGCGGGCAACGGGGAAGGAGAAGCGAGCGGGTGCACTGGGCAGCTTGAAACCCGTTGGCAACACCGCACGTGGGGAAAGTTCGTGGCGCCGAAAACCGCGAACGACCGACGCTCGAAGACAAGGTTCGGGCGCTCGACCTTTTGAAGAGCATGAGCGGCGTAGCAATCGCGAAGGATATGAGGGTCGGGGTGAGCACCTTGTACAGGTGGAGAGCTAAGGAAGCAGACATCAGACAATAGGCAGCAGTCTCCATGCCCGGCGCCAAGTCTAAGNGCGAGCGGGTGCACTGGGCAGCTTGAAACCCGTTGGCAACACCGCACGTGGGGAAAGTTCGTGGCGCCGAAAACCGCGAACGACCGACGCTCGAAGACAAGGTTCGGGCGCTCGACCTTTTGAAGAGCATGAGCGGCGTAGCAATCGCGAAGGATATGAGGGTCGGGGTGAGCACCTTGTACAGGTGGAGAGCTAAGGAAGCAGACATCAGACAATAGGCAGCAGTCTCCATGCCCGGCGCCAAGTCTAAGAAGGGGGCTGAGTTTGCGAAGGTGGGTGCTCAGCTATGTTTGCTGTACAGCAGAGTACAGTAGTAATTCCGAGTGTAATTTGATTTTGATATATAATTTTGAATTTTCATTGTACAAGCAGGGGTCGTGTACACAGCAGCAGCAGTAGTTTAATTCGAAGTATATTTGTGGTCGTTTTAGTTCAGCAAACGGCTAGTGTGGTGTAGGTACGCTGTATCATGCCGTGGAGTATTTGCTGTAGGATGAAATGATATACAGCAGAGCAGTAATAGCAGTGCGCACACTACAGCTGCTAAATCCGGGAACAATATGTGTCCTCTTTTCTTCTCCAGGTGGAGCAAGCAGTCATGGAAATGTTGGTGCAGGCGAGGGTACTGAGAATGCCTGTCAATCGGGACGCGATCCAGGCATTCGGGTGCAAAGCTCGTCGTGCTCTCGAGAACGCAGCATCTACGGACGCCGACGTGTGCAGTACAGCGGCTGCAACGCGTCCGAGGGGTGGGTAAAGAAGTTTGTCAAGCGCAACAACCTGCACTCCCGCACACTTCACGGCGAAGCAGGCAGCGTCGACGACGAAGCCATCGCCGATCGCCTCAGAGTAATCCGCGAGACGTGCGCTCAGTATGCCCCAGAAGGCGTCTACAACGCCGACGGAACCGGGCTGTGCTACAGGATCATGCCCAAGGCTACATACCTCGCACCATCAGAGCTCAAGAAGACCGTGCGAGGCGTGAAAGGTATGAGAGCGAAGGATCGAGTCACCGCCTACATGGCTACGAGCGGCAGCGGGCGTAAGGTACCGCTGTCTTTTATCGGCACAGCCAAGGAGCCCCGGTGCTTCAAGATCCGGGGCTCACCCATCAAGTACTTCAGCCAGAAGAACGCGTGGTCGGACGCGCGAGTGTTCAACCTGTGGTGGTCGCAAGTGTTCCTGCTATTCGATGTACTCGTAGCATAGCATGCGGGTGGTATATTGCATATTATTCATATGCGGGTATTGCAGTGACGAACTACAGAGGAACAAGAAGTTTCTTTATGTTTTCCTTGGAAGTGTGGTTGGTGTAGATTCATGAAGATTCGTTTTGGGTGTTTGAGTGTAATGCGTGACTTGATGCCGTGATGGTTTGACGAGCACGAGCACGCCCCCGAT